GCCTTCAACAGCATCTCAGCCACAGACCATCATACTGTAGCTTAAAGCTGCTTTAACAGATTCTTTGTTTGCCGCCCGGGGCAGTGGAAACAATGTATAAACACAGCACTGACATGTTATCTCTTTTTAAGTTGATAATAGTGAACTAGCTGCACATTCAGGGGCCAGATGCACAAAACTCTGTGTAGACTCATGACTAAAACTGTGCATACGCACCATGACAGTATCGAGCATAGCACTGATTTCATCAGATTTATAAAGCAGCATGTACTCCCAGATCTGTTTTATGAATCTCAATCATCATGGAATTTGGTGGACAAAAAATGAAACTCACTAAGTAAAATAAAGTTTGGATATCAGTTCTGAAAAACATCTTTAAACAATATGACTGAACCCCACGTCACTCTGTTATCATGTGCCAGAAACTGGAAAGTAAACCCCAGGAATTCATTTCATTTTTTCAGAAAGACAGGAGAACAAATTATCAATGACAGTTACAGAAATGGAAAAGAGGCTACAGCCTGAGGATGACACCAGGACTTCAGCCTTCTATGGTTTCAATGTTCCTCTCTAATCCCCCCCACCCCCCCACTACAAAAAAAGTGGACTGTCACATTTGAACCCACAAACACTACGTCTGAAAATGGCAACAATTATTCTATGGTTATAAACTCTACATGGCAGTTCTATTAAAAGATTATTAGTACTACTGCTGACTTAAATGAGAGAAATTAAATATTTTTTTTAAAAATTATGCACAATAAAACAAGATGAATAAGTTAGTTGGAGGAGCCATCGAGTATCTAGCAAAGTGTTAAAAATGTGTGGATCGTATTCTCTGTTTTAAACAGCAACTTTTTTGGTCATCCAGGATCAGTCAACAAGCCTGATTACTAACTTCAAAGCCTGCACCCTGTTTGACGAGCGTTTCTTCAGTATCATTTCTGGTCATCGTCTGCATGTTGTGCTCCAACTCGTCTGCTGCGGCCTCTCCTTCATATTCCGCCCCTACAGCAGATGAGCCGCTTTTTTCTTTCGAACGGTTGGAGTGTGTGCTGCTGAGCTGTGCTTCCCTTATGGTTTTATTTTTGTTGACTGAACCTTTAGGACGGCCCCTTTTTCGCAGGATGACATCCTCACTTTTTGCAGTATTTGGGGGGCGGCCTCTTTTTCTCGAGGGTCCATCGTTGAGGTTGTGTGGTGGGAATGGAATGGTTGGCAAACTCTTGCGTAAGTGGGCGCCTTTCTTAGACTCAGACTTGCGTGGCCGACCACGGCTTCTGCGGGGGGCAAGTGGAGCCCCCTCTGGAGGATCAACACGTGGGTACTTCCTCGGGCGTCCCAGTGGCTTCCATACTTTTGGCTTTTTCAGCTCCTCAGGTGATGGCAGAGGGTACTTCCTGGGCCTTCCCCTTTTGCCTGGCTGTTTTCTTGATCGACCACGCTTCCCTATTGCGGGTGGAATATGTACATTCCGAGGCCGACCTACTTTACCGTGTACCTTATATGCAAGGGGTTTCTTGTTTAATGAGCCTTTAGGTCGACCTCGTCCCCTCTTTATTGGCTGAGAGCCATCTGTGACCAGATCTTGTTGATCTCTGCTCTTCTGTTCGGCACTTTTTCTTGGCCTTCCCCTCCCTCTACGAGGCGTGTGCAAGATGCCATTTGGTGTATCCTGTGTTGACTCCCCTGTGCTATTCACCTCCACCTTCCGAGGCCGACCTCTCACCCTTTTCAGTGAGCTCAGGCTTACGTCAGTTTCCACCTCCCCCTCACTGCTCACCTCTTTCTCCAGCCGGGGTTTCTTATTGAGAGAGCCCTTTGGTCGACCTCTTTTCCTAGACTGTACCAAACTGCTTTCATCCTCTTCACCACTTGTTAAACTTTCTAACTTGCGCTTCACGGAGCCTTTTGGGTGACCCCTTCCCATTTTTGGTGTATCAGAGCCACCATTCGGTAAGTCTTCAGCAGCAGCCTGCTCAGGGGAGCTTTTGATTAGAGGCTTTTTTGGCCTGCCTCTTTTCTTATGAGTATGGTCTGTTGTAGGAGTGTCTCCATTACTGGCCTGTTTCTTGGACCCCTTTGGCCTCCCTTTACCACTATGCGTTTGCACAGAATTATTGGCATGGTCATCTCCTGAACCCTCTTGAGCTGTGTGTGTTGTGCCAGAGAGTTTTGGACGCCCTCTACCCCTCTTGGGCTGTGTGGCCCCACCATTGGACATGCCTGGAGCCAGCTCCATTAGGTTGACATCTGTAACACAAACCTTCAGCTTCTTTGAACCTTGCGGCCTTCCCCTTCCCCTTTTAGCAGGACTGTTGTTGGAGATGTGTCCACTGGACTGTGCCTCATTGCTCATGGCAGCTCCCTGTTCTGTCTCAGCCATCCTAACTTCTTCTTCCATACTGCTGCCTTCAGCTTGGATTACTTCTGTTTAGGGTGTACCTGCGAAGTGAACATGAAAAGGCACAATTAACATTAATAATCTGTTAATGTAAACATTAAAGAACTATATGTGTGATCAAACAGGACTCTGAACAGTTTTCTAATGTTTTACAGCCAAAATGATTTATTATAAAATAATCGACTCATGAATCGATAAAAATACCTGTTAGTTGCAGTCATAATTTTAACAATAACAAAATAGATGTTATTATAACCAGGAACATTTTCTTAACCCTAAACAAAGTGATAAAGAAATAATCAAAAAATATGAGGGACATGAAAAACATATTACTACAATGTTAAAGAGTCTCACTAAAACATTCTTTCATTACAAGAGATGGAGCCATTTCTTGTGTTGGGTTTGTGGCAGTATTATGCTGTTGTATTAGGGTTAGGAGCTATGTTAAAATGCAATCACTTCACATTTTCATAAGGTACAACTGTACAATAGTATGCAATTCAATGCAACACTTCTGCCTTAACATCTGTGTTTATGAAGCTCAAAATGTTTCAGTTTTTGGTGAAACTGTCATAAATGTATAAATTCAACTATATGTTTATTATTGAGGTCATAGTTAAAGGTGGTACTGTACTGGACTACATTATATTCAGAGGTGTTCCTAATATTACGACCCTCTCATGTATGTGGCTGTGGAGGACAAAAACAGAGAAAATTGTCTAATAAAGTGGCCGGTGAGTGTATAATGCAGTTTTTCATTCTTGACTCATCTTAATAGGGTTAAATAATGTGTAATATGGATTTTTTAATTTTGTTTGTTTCTAATGCACCTAATCACTTACACTAATACACTTGTAATGTAATTGTGAATCGTAATTCAAATATATTTATTCATTCCATTAGTCTGATGATATGCTAAAAATGAAATTGTTACCATTAGTTACTTTTTAAGGAGAATCTATAAGCACAATGCTTATTTATAATTGAAATAATCAGACTTTTTAAAACTTTTTTTTTTGTCTGTATATTATCTATATAAAAGGATTACATTACAAAAAACAACCCAAAAGCTTTAAAACATTTTCAATTGCAGAAAAACTAATATTGATGAAAGCCACGTTTATTGCTAAAAAATATTTAGTTTAAAAACACCAGACATATATAATATACATAAATAACCTAGTCTATAGAGTATAACAGTGCGTGTGCAAATTATTATTTGGAACATATTTAATAAATTATGCCTTGCATTGTTATTTAAAGGATGGGTTATACGGCCGTGTCTATTTTCTGGAATACAATCTTGCAACAGAAGGAAGGTGCACTAATGCTCTAGCGCTTAGACGGCTAGCAATAATATGTGCACAATTAACATCGCTGCATGCAAACACACCGTTTTGTGTCGTTATCCTCCATAAGTACAAACTAAAACATATGCAGTTTCTTTCATAACTCGTACAGACCCCGTACAATGTCAATTTCATTTGAAGGCCAATAAATATGACTTAGATTTAGGGCCTTAAACATCGCTATGCCCGTGGACCAGATTGTTCTCCAGGTGATAGTCAGCTTCAAAATCGACGGTGATGGAAATAGCAGCTAGTGGCGCAAAGCAAATAAACTGCTGCAATCAACACGGTGCACATCTCACCTTTAAGGAATCTTCTGTACGATTTTAGCTTAATTTTTCATAAAACATTCATTCACCAAACAGCTCATAAAGTTCGCGTTTATTGTTGCTGTGATGCTTGTTTAAATTTGCGACCGTTTCCGACCATCCGTCACGTTCCGAAGGCTCAGAAGGAAACTGCGGCGCGAAATTTCAGTTCCGCCTCAGCATCCCTGCTGATTCACAGGCTCTTACTGTGATTTCTCATTTTATCTAGTTCACATATTTATTAAGTGATATTATAGTACTTATACCTACATTTACATTAGCGCTCAAGTACATTTTTTGTATTTCTATTCAATACATTTTATGGTTACAATTTATGTTGCTGTGTGCAGTAATTAATAGCTTTTTTTGTGATGGTTCATTTGAAGCAAATACTCATGTTATATGCATGCATATATTTTTTACTGTATATATGTGCACACAGAAAAGGAGGACACTCTTTAAAAGAGAAAAAGTACCCACAGTAAGATGTAACTAAAATGAAACTGAGGTGAATAACATGTTGACCATTCCTCTGACCATGAGAAATAATTGTAAAGGTGTTCAACACTTCAATAAAAGTATTTGGAAACCCCACTCATACTGTTGCCACACTACAACACAAGTTGCTTCAGAAACACCTAATGCTGCATTTTACCTGAAGTGTTGTCTGCAGAACTTGTGTTGAAGCCACTCAGATTTCTACAATCTTAAGACTACATTCTGAAAAAAATCGATCACAACTGGACGTGGCCATAGTGAGAAATATATTTCTCCTCTTGGCTCCTCTCTGCTCACTGTGAACACTGGTTGCTTTCCTAGCATAAAACTGCCTTTCACACCATTTTAACATTTTGTCTACTGTGTAATTTGCATTTATCAACCAACATTTGCCACTAAAATGTACAGTAGTAGAGAGTACACAGTATAAACAGTATCACAAAGTAGTCATTTAGGTGAAGTATTATATATTGTAACTTAAATTACAATTAATTAATTTATTTAAATGATATACTTTTATTTTAGTACATGCATTGGCACCTAAACCAACCACTGTAACACAACATACACTTGTCTGTTAAATGTTATTATTTACAGTAGCTGGTTTAAAAGGTGATGAAAATGATGGACTAGTGTTGGCTAACTTAACAGCAGTAATTTATTTAGTTTAAAGTAAGATGATGTGACTTTTGAGAAATGAAATGCTACATTCTTCCTCTTACAAATAAAGTTGAATTCATATGTAACAAAATGTGCCCCCCTTTGTCAGTACACTCAGCGGTTCTGCCGCTTTATCCTGACTTAGCCTGATATGACCAGTAGCTTATAGTGAAGAGTAAAACAAGCCTTTATGACAAACCTTGTGTAACTGAGTCAGTTCAATGATTTATTAGGACTCTTCTGTACTTGTTACACTTCATTTTACCAATGACCATTATCCTGTAATTGCCACTAGAGGCATCAGAGGCTACAGTTCAGCAAAGCTGCAGTCCTGAGCTTTAAGTTAAGAAGTGTAAAATTTATATGTGCTGACTGGATGTTTAATATGCTAAACCATTACATTACTGCCTATTAGGTAAATATATGGCTTTCAATATCAAAGGCTATTCACATGGAGATTAAAAAAAAAAACTTGCTCAGCCAGTGTAGCAGGACACATCCTCAATAAGAATATTATAAATACTCACAAAACACATTATTATTAAAAGCGTATGTGGTTGATTTCTCAGATAAGATGAACTTTACTGCTCCACCATAATGATGAATAATATAAATGATTAACTTAAAAACAGAATAGACCTGCCATTCATAATGAGCATCTATTAGCGGTTTATTCCAGTTTTACATTGGTTTAGCGCCTTGTCTTTTCTGTGCTTCTTCACAGAGGGAAACTATACTGACAATGAAAGAAAAGGCATGAGGAGAAAAAAGCTAGAAGGAAAGGATTATGTTGCACAGAGTAGTTGGGGAAGGGGGTGGAGTATGAGGTAAGGGCAGAGTGATGAGTTCAGTATCAATAAGGAGAATGCAAGAGAAGAGAAATATGCAAATGGTGTTTATATGTGTGCGAGCAGGAGAGAGACACGAAGTCATAGTCGGTTCAAAAGAAGCAGGAGAGGCTGAGAGAAAATGACAGACGTGGCTGGAGGAAAGGGAAGGAGCGTTTGGAGAAAGACAACCCCTGAGAGACTGTGCTGAACCCGCTGCCCCGTCTCAACTGTCCTCCTCCCCCTCCTCCCTCTGCGCTTTGCCATGGTTACCAGACAGGGCTCCCAATGCAGCCAGTTAATGTGTTTTTCAGCGACAGGAGCGAGCTGGGTACTAATGTGTCTCAGTCTGTGTCCTGCACAATCAATGTCAACTGTCCTGGGATGCACAAACACATGGAGGGCTAAGAGCCAGGGAACACTGAGCCACCCTGGCTCAGCGACAGGCAGCGAGTCTGAAAGAGGACCGCATCACGTTCACGTATTCACCTGAAAACTGCCAGCAGTGGCATTAAGTTAGATCAAATGAGAAAAAATGAGCAAGGAAGTTTTATTTATGCTCTCTATCTCTGCTACACTGACCTGAAATGCTCATTTCAGATTAAATTTCTGACTGCGTGAGTGTTGTGGAAAAGTTGCCACCACAGTGGGCAAAAATGCATCCCACGCCACAAAATACCAGCAAGGTCAGTAAAAGAAAACGGTTGCGTTCACTATTTAAAAATCCTTTGCAGTGTGCTTTCAGGCTGACCATGGAATTTAACAAAAACAACACAACAGGTTTTAACCATTTCTTGAATTTTATTGTCATATTAATAAAAAAACAACAAGAAAAAAAACCATCCAGAACAAGGTGAAAATCATTCTTCCAGAGTTGCTACAACTATTGCAAAAACTATTTTGATGATAGTTTTGACTTTTGGATGATCTGAATATGTCAGTTTCAGCTCTAGTAATTTATGACAACTTCACTACTGAGAAAATGATCAGAAGATGCACATTTTCATAGGGCTGCATTTCGTTTAATAATAATAAATATACAGTTGTTGTGAGGACCTTTAAAATTTCTGCAGATGAATAAGCATCAGGATGATGACTCTTGGCCATTGTTTCATAAAATTAACTATCAAAATGTTCCCTGTCTCTTGATTACAGGTTTCTTATTTTCAGTATCTGTGAACAGATTTTGAAATCCCATGCGACTCATACAACAGGGTCGCAACCCTCGGCTGTCTTCTTATTGAACTGTGTTAGTGCTCAGCACACAAAGTTGGCCAAAAGGTACTGCCCCTCCGGAGAACCACGTCGTCTCTTCTTGGCTTTCCATGATGTGTGGAAAGCCTAAGGAATTCTGTCTGGATGACTTCATGCAATCAAAACACCTCATTCCATGACTGCTCTGCAGATTTACTCCGCTGTGTTCTACTTTTCTGATGTCTCTGATGATATCATGATTTAATAGAATAACACCACCTCAGTGTCTGGTTTTTGCTTTTAGTCCAGTGACTGTGGTTTCCGGATGCAGCTGCATGCACCTTTGTTCCCAAGGACCTCACCTGTGACCTTTCATATCATCACAGGTTAAGGGTCTCAGGGACAATGAAGCATACTGACATTCACAGCTGGACTGAAAAGGCAGCAGTGTTCGTTTAGCTTGTCCACAAAGTTTTAAATATTTCAAGAAGTCGTCACACTATAACTTAAAAATTATATTTCAGTGGCATATACAAGTGTCATGCATGTTTATTGTGAAAGATTTTGTTACGTAAGCTCTGCAATATTAACTTTTGACCTTCACCTTGTATATAGATAAAATGTATATTAGTGATAGATACATACCATCATAACAAAAACCGACTCTAAAATAACATAAATGATACGTCATATGTGATGGTTACCGTTGTTTGTCACGATGCAGCTCGACATGGACGTTTGCGTCTCGACACGTCTGCATAGATGAACCAGATCACACCCTGTAGAAGAAGAAGAAAGACATCGTTCAACATATAAATATCAATTTTTGTAGCGTTATTTATCTGTTCATTTCATTTTCAGGGCCCTTTCACTGTCTTCCTTCCTGACATAGCCAGCGCCTGTTATTCTGTGGAGGTCTGTGCAGTAAGATGCTCAAACAATGTGCCCCCTGCTGGCAGACAGATGGACACAGCATTTGAAGACAGACACACACTGATAGAGGAAAATCCTCAAATTTAATGTATAACTCAGGATTTGCATATGGGATTAACATATGGCTGCCTGGCGTGTATGAGCATTAAGCTCCAGCTGAGCGGTCATGCAGTTCATAGACACGCACACACTCGACTCTGCTTGTGCACATGCACGAAACAGCCACAGACAGCTGTGCCTGGAGCCGCAGACAACACTGTCGTCTTATATTTCCTACAGGCCTTGTGATTTCACAGGATTATGCAATCACTCCCCCATGACAAAGATGTTTAGCCTTGAGGGAGTAACACTGATTTACTCTTCCCCAGACAAAATAAAAGTCACACAAGCCTGACAATGCAGATGCCACATGAGGAATAAGAACCAGGGTTCAAACAACTGCTACACAGCTGAAAAGCTCCATTTGCATCAAGTGTACGTCTGTGCAGACGACAGCATTATCGTCTGCCAGCAATCCAGAACGCAGAACTTGCAAAATCTGTCTGTGACCAGGTGCGCACACATGCGGACAAACAAAAAAAGTCACAGCCTTTTGCTGCCTGCCTGTTTCGTCTTTGTCTCTGTGCTTTGAGAAAATTTCCTCTGTCCCAGTTTTATGAGCTCCTCCGCTGCTCTCAAAAGCACCAGAAACAAAGAATGGAGGATGAAAACCAGTGGCTAAAAGGGAGAATGAACAGAAATATTCTCATGAAGAAAATAACCTACATCAAAAAGAATGAACATGAAGGTGGACTCAAATGAAGGGAAGATGGCGGGTGGACATGATCAGATGAATTGTCTCGTTTTGTTATCCGGCACACTTAAGTCGTTTTGAACTCACCATTTGCCTTTGCCTAGTGTTCCTTATATGAACACACACGCGTTTGTACTCTGTCTGCGCACGCATAAAAGTGCATGTACATAAAACAGGTACGCACACACACACACACACACAGACACACACATAAAACACAACACACTCTTACGATGAGTTATTGATCCGTTTTCCCCCTGAGAGTAAAAAAAAAAGCCTCAATTAATCCAGTGGTAAAGAAAATAATGCTTGATCAAACCTATCCTGCCCCATCTTCACAGTCTTCTTTCACTCTCTGAGTGTCGTACACGGTGGCGAACAGAAAAGCTATTCCCCTCTCGCTACCCCTCCATCTCTCGCTCTCCTCTTTTTGTCTCTTCTCTTCTTCTGTCCCTCTCTCAGGCGCTGTCCCTGGCTCTGTTTTGTGCCTGTTTCCCTCTGCCAAGTCACATCACTAATTCTCCAGGCGATTAGAGTCAGAGCAAGCAAAGTCTATGAGGCAGGTATGCCACACTCACAAACACACACGCACAGAGTAAACCACACACACAGACAATTGCATTGATTCCATTATCTGGTGCTGTACCAACACACCCGACTTCCTCCAACCCCCACCAACAACCAACAGCGCCTCCATCTATGACCCCTCCTTTCATAAATCTGTGTCACCTACATACATCACACACAAACACATGCAGGTTCACACATACACACAGACACTTCAGCAGGCATGCAGAATCTCCAGCTATCGCTCTTTCTTCTTCTCTTGCCCGAACACTCGCTATCACTGTCCCCGCCTCCCCCTGCTCTGTCTCAGCCCTTCCCCTCATTTTCATCCTTCCCTCTTCGTCTCTCCCCCGTCTCTCTCCTACTCTCACCCCTTACGGTTTTTTCCAGGCGTGACGTCCCGTCTCGCCCATCTTGCGGTCTATGTTCACACGATGCCGTGTCTCTCTTCATGGGTGTCTATTACCCTGTTTGTTTGCGTGTGTTTGAACTTGTGCTGCTATGTTCATGCATCTGGAGGAGAGAGAGTCAATGTGTTCAGAAGGAGGCGAATGTGTGTGAGGTGTGAGTGTCCTTGTGCACTGCTGTGCACACATGCATCTGTGTGAGTGTGTGTGTGGAAGGGAGGGAACGAGAGGGAAGAGGCGGTGGAGGGAGCTCACAGACAGAGGCTGTGGATTTTACACAGCACGAGGACCAAAGCCACAGCAAGCCCAAAGGTGATTAACCTCCTAGTTGTTCTGACCACAGCTCTGCTGTTCTTCCAAATTGCATTAACACAACAGTCTGCTATCAGCGCAATTCATGACATATCAACCCATCCGCCTTTGTTGCACAAATTCCCAAACAGCCACTATCATATGGTGAGAAATAAAAAAGCTGTCAGTAAATTGTGAAATCACATAGCTGACCTTTGTACCTCAAAAAGAAAAACTGCCAAAATAACACTTAGTGTGTGTGAGAATTGAAAACTTGTTTCATTTCATTTTCATTCATTTCATTCAATTTCATGCAACTGTAATGATACAAGAGATGACAATACAACAAGCTAACAGGAAAATAGAGGTGTTAATAGGAAATCATAGCAGTCAGCTTCATAAATGAAATGTTAAAACAAACGCAGGAATCAGCCACCTTTTGTAAAATTATGGGTGGCAGGCGGGGTCTATTGTGGTGGTTGTATTTCCTCTTGAGTTGAAACATGTTGGGGGGTCGTTTCTTTGTGTGAGTACAGAAAAGAGCAGTGCTCAGCGGAGATTGCTGATATATGCTCTTTTTTCCCCCCCTCCTCACTGGAACACTGCAACGCAATGCGGATGGGGGAGGGGGGGGGGGTGGAGGAAGGAGAAGGGAGAGAGGGAGGAGGTAAGCAAGTTCACATGCAGCCCAATGTTTCAGGATACACTGATACTAACGTCTAGACACACTGCCATGACTACAGGGGTTCACACATACAGTTAACTTTGGAGATTTTTATGTCAACATAAACCGACTTGCAAAATTAAACAAAAAACAGAAAATGGTCTAAGAGTGCATTAAAAACTCAAGGCTGTATCATACTGCGGGTTCCAAACTGTTAAAATCAAGGTTGGTAGACCAAAACCAGATGTACAATTAAACCCCCCCCCAAATCTAAAACCTCCTAGCTTACAGTTAGTAAAAATGTCTGACCCACAATGAAATGATTTAAAATATGAATGCTTCTTTTTTATTTATCATTCCTGAGCACATTCCAGTAAAATGTCATGCATTTCTGTGCATGGCATGCTAAAGAAAGCACAGAAACAAACAGCTATCGATGGCTGGCTCTGTACCCCACTGGACTGCACCAAACAGCAAATCAAACAGCACTGCAGAACGAGGTGGACACATTGATGCCTGGATTATCGGGACTTTGACAACAAAATTTCAGACGTATTAGACTTAAAGTCAGTTTTGTAGCTTGTTTTTGTGTCATTACGATTATGGGTAAGAAATCAAATTTGTTCAAGGAGAAAGGCCGAATTAGTTCAGATCTGATAATGGATGTGAATTCGATGCTAGTGACTGTCACTGCATCTCTTCCAACAGATCTTAAAGCAAAATAGATCTTGAAAATGTAAGAGGTAAAAAAAAAAAACATAAAAACCTAGATACAATTAGGAACAACCTTGTAATTTTGTTTTGTATCATGTAGTTTAAAGGACAAAAAACCTCCGATATACTTTTTATGACTTTGTCTTGATATAGTGCAATATCATGTTAAATTGTGTAAAAATATAAACTTTTTTTAACCTGTACTCCTATTCCCCTACAGTCACTTTTTATCTCTGTCTTCATACTTACCACTCCAAGAGGTATAAGAGTGCATGGGTGTTTGTGTGAAGTCTGGGTGACACCGCAGGGAAAGCTAGAAGGTTGTACAGTTATCTCCAAGCTGTTTATTATGCGAAACCATACAACCAACTACCTCACACTGCAGAGCACCGGAGCAGGGTCAATGCTGGAGGCTCTTCATCTTCGGCGCAGTCTTCTCGTCTTTTACTTTTGTCTGTCTATCTTTGTCTGTCTCTATCGGCCGTACGTCCCAGCCCTGCCTCTCTTTTCTTTCACAATCTAATACATTCATCGAAAAGCTGTTTCTGACACAATCACTATATTTTTCAGCATATTAAATTTTAAAGTATAACCTTTATTGCAAGATTTTGACTGTAGTAAATCTCTTGTTCCAAACTAAATCAATAAAGTATGTGTCTACAAAAAGTTTAATGCGGCGATACTGCTGGAGAAGTAATCGCTCAGTCTGGCTAACTAACTGCACTCTGAGCTTTTTTGTGGACTTGTCTCCCTCTTGTGGGTAGACACAGTACACAGACACCCCCACCCCGTCCACCAGAGGCCGAGCCAGACCTCCACTGTCTCTGAATACAAAGACAAGCACTTAACCTGCAGTTGCTTACTGTAGGCGGCTGCCTGACCTACTTCTGCAAGTGGAGCTGCTGGAATCTTCATATCCTCAAAGACTCGATTCCGCACTACAGAGCACTACTTCATTGTCATTCTGAGATTAAAGTCAAACACTCCTCTCCTCTTTCATTTCACTAGTTAGTCACTCAGGTGCCTATTTTGGTGTCAGAAGAAGAATATTAGATATCAGCCTGGTGAAAGGGGCATCACTTCCCTTTGTTGTTTGGATTTTTATTTCTAACAGCTTTAGTTTTATCTAACCATTAGTACAAAACCTGAATATATTTCTCGTACTTATATGTAAAATAAAAGTAGCAAATCATCACATTTGAAAAGCTAAATCCAACAAATCTTTGGCATTGTGGTTTGAAAAATGAAAAATGGCTCAAACAATTAACTGGTTATAAAAACAGTCATGGGCTAATCATTGAAGTCCTCCCAGCCCGTTTAGTTAAGGTGCGGCCATGTATCCACACCACAAAAGACCTTAGAATGATTTCACAGCACGTGTCTCATACAAGGTGCCAGAAAACACCAAGTCTACTCAGGTGCTCAGAACATTTAAAGTGGCAATTAAAATTTTTGCCATTGTCACTTTCATTAAATTATCATTCCAACCCCATCTCCTGGAAACTACGTTCATGTACTACTAAACTGTTTTCACCGTCTATCACAGGACTGACATGCAGACAAACAACCACACACACTCACTCCAATGGGCAATTTAGAGTTTGTGGACTGTGGGAGGAAGCCTGGGCTCAAACCTGGAACCTTCTTGCTGTGAGGAGATAGCGCTAACCACCACCCCGGTCTTCTGCCCTATTTAAATGTATTCTAAACATATTCTATTTATAAGTGGATGTCACCAATATTGTCATGTTTTTATATCTGCAATTTGCAACATGAAGCAATTTCTTCTTTTGCTAATTTTGACACTTTTCACCAATAAATAAACATCACACTTGTGACCCACACAAACTTGCAAACACTTCGTAGGACATCTGCAAAATGCAAACAAGTATTTGTGAAATGAGATGCTGCAGCTGTTGCTGTGCTTGCATTTGACTTTTGTGAAACCGTTTTCATATGTTCTCTGTCATTCGGTATCTGTCAACGACATAAAGGTAAAATATTCTTCTAAGACCTTTGTGTTCCTAAAAAGGCAAACTGATGATGAGTGTCATCTGGAAAAATGGCCATGACTCCTATCAGCTATAGATATTCCAAATATGAGGGTGAGTCCATGAATGAGTAGAAACATGAATAGTAAATACAGTAAATACAGATAAATGCAGAACTGCATTGTGTCTAGATTCAGAATCTCAAGAATTGTGTTAAATATCTGAGCACATTAAAACAGGCTAAGTTGATTTGTACTGTTTAATATAATATTTTCAGGGTAATGCAGACACTGGTGAATTGTAGACCAGTTTTCAAGGTAACAAATAGCATCTAATGGGTGAGTAATTGGATGACAATTTGGAGTAACAGCACTATCCAACCAATCTCCCTCATTACACTCCATATATAATGGGGTGCACCCACACTTTCGACATCTAGCTAAGGTGATCTCCTGCAGAAGCAGCAAATTGGCTGTTGTTAGCAGTCAATGGCTGTGTTTTGACACTCCTCCTGTGTGCCTCAGGACTCATTGATTACTTGATGGCTACTGCACAGCTGAGTTTCTAGGCCTCTATTCAGCTCGGTCAATACACCAAAAACACAACCCAAAAGTCTTGGATGACTGGGGCCTCACTGACAAAGGTTCAAACACAAAAGTGGTATATCACTGATTGTTCAAATCTAACTCCATCTGTTGGCTGCCAGGCCCGCCTGCATATTAAAATACATGGCATAGCACAGGTAAATGTGTATAAAGTGATGAATGGTGTGTTGGGGGTCTTGTTCAATTACATTACAGGAATAAAAGCCATTTATAATCACTCCCAACTTGTTAATTACACTTAAGATTTATCATTATTTGTCATATCAGTGTTAACTTCAAAAGATGCAGCAGCACCATATGCCTAACAGACATCGATTGTTTTTTTTTATTGGCCAGCTTCCAAATGCAAACCCATTCACCTCGCCGCTCTCCACTGCTTTCTGCTAAAAGCCCACCCTCTGCTTGCCCTTCATTTTCTTTCTTTGGCCATGTTCCCACCTATTATTTTTCCTTCATCACTTAACATTTCAGGCCTCAAAGTCTTCCACAACTTTTTTCTTTCCTTTTTCAGACAATCTCTGTTCGTGCCAACTAAGCCCCCCCGTTTCATCCCCTTGATTCCACTCCTCCCCTTTTTAAACCTCTCTCACTGTTTCATTCGCAGTCGGATCACGGATGAATGCGGCATGGTTGTGCCACTGCCAGCTCTTTGCCAATGTGCCTGGGTGTGTTTGTGTGCCAGTGCAAGTCTGGTGGGAAGCCCCTGCACCAGAGGCCAGGGTGGCAAATAAGCCCGACCTCCGGCTTTGTGAGGATTAGCATTTGTCCTCTTGTGAGAACGAAAACAAATTAATCATGTTGAGCTGAAGTATATATCCAGATACAACAAAAATCACCACAAAGTTAATGAACCTGAAAATAGTGGAAACTGGTTGTGCTACCAGTGACGATCCCAAAGTTATTTCTAGTCATGCCATCACATTTCTACACCTCAAGAAAATGTGGCTAAAGTTAACAACTCAGTAGAAGTATCTGGACAACATAAACGTTTTCCCATGAGTAACAACATAATGATTTCATAACAGGCAGATAGAAAGATAACCTTAGATGTTAAGCAGACTTCATTTTATGTATTTTTATATAGTCTATTAAATACGTTCTGTAGTTAGTTACTTAGAAGTGGCTATTTTCCCCAAAAAAACTAATTACTGCCATGGTTTAAATGAATCTTGCAATACTGTGTTTATGTAAACCTCTCAAATTAAACGTAGCTGTAATTCAGTTTGTTAATTTAATTTAAATTGTTATCACATCAAATGACTCTGGGGATATTGATTATCATGCACATGATCATCATCTGCTAATCTTGCAAAAGCTGAGACAATACTGAGCGATACTATACTGTTTGTCAGTCATTACTGCTAAAACAACTAAAATTGTATTTTGAGGGAATACCCACTGTACAGATTAAAGAGTTTGTATAGAAATGTGCAGCAGAGGCTTATCCATTAAGACAACAACAAAATCTCTATAAATGTTCAGTTTTGTTGCTTCTTTGTTAAAAGACTAATACAGCTAAGGCACAAAATTTATCATGAACATATTCAGGAAAGAATATAGTTAATTTCTTAGTTGAAAATGAACAGAAATTTGTTTCAATTTATGGCACAGAATTCTACAGAAATACTACAGATTGCTAATTTATATAAACCAGTCATAAATTAAAGTCTGAAATTCCTTGTTTCTTGTTTCCAACTAAACTAAAAGTAAATGTTATGGCAATTTTGCAATGATTTCTGTGACTATGGCTTTTGACAAAACAGCTGTGAACAACAGTCAGAGAGAAAAGCCGTCAAAAGGCAACGACCTCGTGGTATTTTACATGACAAATGTAAGCAAAAAAACAAAATGACTGACCACTGAAATCAGGCACACATCTGCCTCGCAACAAGACATTTTTAATGAAGAAACCACTCTAAAAAAAATACACAAAACAGTTTAGGCTCTGCTCTCAAAGACAGAACAAGGATTTCAGGTGACTCTCAACCACTCATCGTCTTTGAGAAGTGACGTGCCGAGACTACAGCTCCACCCAAACAATGTAGGGGCACAGGGGAGCAAAATCTGCCCAGTGACAGCAAATAAACTGTTAACCGCAGCTATGAATTGTCTGGCAAGTGCCAGCTCAACAGGAATGCAGGCCTCAGACAGCAGTACTCAAACTCAAGGCCAAGGACCGCTGCTGGTCCAGTCGATTTCACAGAGAGATACACGCTCTTGGTAAACAACTGCTTCTTATTTAATTAATTAGAATTCTAAAACAACTGAATGAAAACCTAAATAAAAACAAAATAAAACAAGGGTCACTACACAATGAGGAAAAACAAATAAATAGACAAACAGATAAGCACTCAATTAAAAAATATATAATTTTCACACACAATTGACTTTTAACTCCATCTGAGCCTATAGAAGAGTGGAAATATGACTTTTCCAGTACTATTTAGACACCAATGAAAAAAACTAGGACTCTCAAAGCTGGACCTGAGCCTGTGTAGTGAGGACTCAGACCCATCAACGCTAATGCACTTCCTCAGTCAGATGATGGCTGTGTGCAGGGCCAGGACAAGTCCCTGCTTCTCACAAACCGTAAATTATAGCTCTCTTAAGATAGAATGAGATTCCCCCTTTTCGCCGCTCTCCTCGTTACCTTATTTACAAAGGCAGAAAACGTTACCATGGGAACAGGCTACAAGGCAACCTCAGTGGCTTGGCATGATGCCCAACGGTTGCTAGGGCACAGTTGTCAATGGCTGTTGGGTTGTGTGGGCCAGTATGTCGGTGCATGTCCTGTATGTATGTGTGCATCGTTGTGTGAGAGTAGGAGAGTCAATGTGTGTATATTTGTGTGTGTTCATGAATGCACACACCACATCTCACCTTAAAAAAATGTACACTAATGTTCTTATTCCATAATTAGGGCATTTGTATGTGTCCAATATGTAATTATCTTAAATAATATGTACCATTTAAATTGGCTTTCTTATTGCTTGTTTGGCTCTGTAGGTGACAAACGACAGGAAGCACCTTTTGTTAGTTAATATACCCTAATTTTTGATTCTTGGTAAAGTGTGTATTTGTCAAAGAAAGGGAGAATAATCAAGAAAGCACTTATGTGAGGGGCCATATGCAATTATGTTGAATAGCATGCAACATAATGGCTTCTTTCAACAGGTTTGATTGTGTGGTACATAACAGCTGGGAAATAGTCTGTTTATAGTAGCGGCAATATAACAATTTTGCTTCAATATGCACTGTCAGTGAGAACAAACTTCGTGTTTTATGATGAGAGTAAAAATATAAGACACAAGAGGAGACAGAAAGAGAGTGTCAGAAGAAAAAGTTAGTGTCTCTGTATACTTGGAGCTGATATTATCACTAGCTCTGATCTCTCAAGCTGTCTGCTCTCGTTTTCATTTTAGTCCGATTCAGAGCGTTTGTTGGTATAAATTGGGAAGAAACACGTTGTCAAAGTATTTACCTCTCAATCGGGATCTGGTTTGCGGTTTTTCCCATGGCTCTCTCATCACTGGAGAGCTTCTATGGTTGACCACAGCATTCCTGAAATCAGCAGAGCATCATGCATATTATTAGCATACCATAGGACAGGAAGGGGAACATCAATAAACACACTGAGCCATGAAGTTGGGATAAGTAAATAAACAAAGTCACTCACCCAGACACAGCTTTATCTACAGTTTTATCTAGGCCAAATAGTCTAGCAGTGCCATTTTCAGAAAAACATCCTCAACTCAGTCATGAATAAATATAATGAGATAATTAAATCATAGTAGACCAGTCCCTGATTAGCAATAAAGCACTCAACAGCAAAAAGTGATCAGCAGAAATGTAAGGATTTATGATGAAGGATGCAGATTATGACAAAGATTAACAGTGTGGGAGATAATGGTGAGAACTGTGCCATCAACAAAGACTGAATGAAAGGGTGGTACAAAAATACACATGGAGCGGAGATGGTTAAAGACAATGGTGTTGAATAATACATTAATAATGCTGGAAAATACAATCTGGCATCATAAATAAAACAGCAGCAAGCCAAACAAATGCAATAATTATGACACTGCAACACAATGAAAGACAACAGAGATGAAGATGTGGGTCTTTTGTGTTGATGTGTGTTCATTAATTCCCACAAATGTATGTCTGCATGCACTTAGGGAGAGTGAGTATTGCCTGTAGTGCATCTTATCTAACATTATCAAAAGGAAGCATGGCCTCTCCCCCTCACCTCTCCTCCCTCCGGCCCTTTGAACTCAAGCCACTGCAGAAGATGCAGTCTGACTGAGCACAGCATGTCATGAAAGGAGGTCAGAGGGCACGACAAACAGTCTAGTGTCATGGCAACTTGATACCACCGACCCAAAATGTGGTGGTGCTGCAGGAAACTTACTAAAGACCCACTATTTGAAATGCTGAATCAAGGAACCAATTCACTTCATGCTGGGTAGTTGGAAAATACTGATAGAAAGACTAAAAGGCTGCATCCATACTAAATGTAACTCTGAGTAAAGTAAAAAAGTAGCCCTCTCATGCATTCCAGTGAAACCTGTCTGCCAAGACAGCACAGGTGGCAACGCTCACAGGTTTGTCCGTAGAGCTGCAACATTTGTCAATTGATTAATCTCACAGTTATTTTTTCAATAAATCAATTAATTGTTTAGTCTACAAAACATTTTTAAAAAATATCCATCACAGTTTCCTAGAGACAGCATCAAATGCCTCATTTTGTCTGGCCCACAGCCCAAAACCCCAAAATCTTCAATTTTTTATAATGCAAGACAAAGAAAATCAACAAATTCTCAGCTGTTGGGATTAAGAATGCATCAAAAATGCAGCACTTCTGGTTAAAAAATACTCAGTTATCTCGACTGACTAATCATTTAATCAATTATTTGCTGCAGCTCTAGTCTGGCAAAAAAATAAATAAAAATTGAACGCGGCTCCAATTTTGACAGGTCGCAATGCAACATCATCCTGCAAAATTCTGCAACAGCAAATCCCGAAAACCAAATTACTTACTTATTATAAACTATGTTGAAGTGTTTTGGTGTGACAAGCCTTCAAATTCACGTGGAGTAACTGAATACCCCACCAACCCAGCCTATTGTGCAGGGTTCTTTTCGGTCATAGGCCTACTAGTATACCCCATTCTGTCTGTGAACATAGAATAGCCTTAAACTTGGTCAACTTAATTTGGAAATTCTTGTCTGGAGACTATGACTGGTCTTCAAAAAATACACAGTTACTGCCACAGATGACACCATGGTTCATATACCTCTCTGAACAACTGGCACCAAACTGAATTCCTCTCATTTATCGTACTAATGATTCTGAGAACAATTCAGCAAACCTGAGACTGCAGCTGTAATTGTGTCGCTAGCTGGTGCCAGGCCTAGACTGCCTGTGTTTTCATCTAACTCCTGAAGTGCTGGATCAATATGGAATCTAGATTCCTTTTTATGTCATTAGCTTGCCTGATGCTCGAGCTGAGACCTCACCAAACCTTTGTGTTTTCAGACTCTGAAATCTCTCAGCTGAAGAGTGTGTGACTGCAGAACTGTCTGTCTGTCGGCAGTGTGTGTGTGTGTGTGTGTGTGTGTGTGTGCATATTAACCTTAAAAGCAGTTTACATACAACAGTTGGTTAAATGTCTGTTTATAGCCTTTTTTTCTCTGTGTATTAGTGTGCACATGTAAGTGTTGTATGAGACACACATGTGCTGCACGTGCACAAGTGCATGTATGAGGCAATGTGTGCATATGGAGTGTGTCCTTGTGTTTGTTCAATGCGGCAGAGGGTGGAGTGGCAGATCAATAGGAAACAAATGAATTCAGATCAATATTAAGCCAGGGAGTGAAGGAGAGAGAAGCAGAGATTGAAAGCGAGTGGGTGGGGTGATGCACAACAGAGGAGGAGGAGGAGGAGGAGGAAGAGGGGTGCTGGTGGGTTGGAGGGGGTGATGCGTTACCAGCAGCACAGCGACTAACTGTCCACTTGGGAAAGACCACTCATCTCTCCAGCCAAAACCTCAGCGCTCTGAGGTCACTGACAGATAAAATGGATGGTTAAGCGAGTTAGACAAAAAACAGAGAGAGACTTGAGAGCGGCAGTGCAGAGGAGAAAAGCCCGGCACTCCCGCATCACACTGGTGGTGCTCGGTTTTAGTGTGCACTAGTAACAAAATCAGATGGGACAGTGCTTCTTCATATCTTTAAACTTCAATCTCACTGAGACTTTGTTGTATTTTAGTTTTTATGGAAAGCTCTTTAAAAAGTGCTCTAAAAATGGCACACTATTAATGGCTGTGCAAAACTTTCTGTCAAGCATTTCCCTTTTTTTCCAATCTACTATTTCAACTGTTTCCATTCCTGCAATGGTGACAATAGTTAACCATCTTCGACATTTTCTAACATCAGAGTATTTTAGCATTTAGTGAAACTTCACAGATCACCTTGGTGATGACTGAGGTGAGGGTCTATTCTGCACTAAATGAGACATTTCCTTTTCACCCAGCATGATAAGATCAGAAATCTCAGCCTAGGAAAGATTTTATTCTGACCTTTCAACTTGAAACTCCCAGCTGGAGTTTAATATTTACAGCCAAACTCGTAAAAACACATTCAGATTAGAAAAGTGCTAGACTTCTCACATCCAGTTTCTTGTTGTTTTACAGGCAGGTTTTGGAAACTGCTTTGGAAACACTTCGTTTTGTCTATAAAAAGTAAAATAAAATCTATTAAAAACATTTATTATAATGTGTGATAATGTTTACCAGATTTCCTTTATGACCAACCAACAATCTAATATTCAGTTTACAATTACATGACAGACAAAATCGGCCGTATTTGAGAAGCAGAGAACATTTGGCACTTTGCATGAAACGATATTAGGTTTTATCCTGGTTTTCAAAGCTGCTAACCAGACTAAATTTTTGTATTTGTGCCTGGATTTAGTCAAAGATTTCAAGTCTAAGATGCATGATTGAAACTATTTAATGCCACATTATGTCCTGTGGTGAAATATGATATACTTGTTGACTATATTCATCTAGGCCATGAGGGAGAATTCACCAGAGATTTGATCGAATATCATATTTCTATTGTTGAGAATATATTTTGAGCTGTGCAATACATAGGAGAAGGATTGCCTCAGTATCAGTATCATCTTCTTGGTCTTTTACCTTTATGAGTATTTGTGGTTTTTATAACAAATACATTTACCCTCTGTTCTACTATTCATTAGCTCGGTTACAGTTATCAGGATCGGGGCTATTCATACAATACCAGAGCAGCACTTTGTTCATATTCTGAAAAATATTTGAGATTCTTTTGCTTTGGAGTATCGCCTTGAAATTGCAAACAGGATTGCTCGGCTTTGTGTATCTGCTCATCTCTCGGCTGTGAGATCAAAGAATCAAGAGCCATTTGGGAGTCGGAACTGAATGAGACTTTGAAGTGATAGTGGCAAACAAACACAAACAACTAAGTGCTTCTGAACAGGGGCCTCTCCACTTCCAGCTCAAGGTTCCTCGACTCTTGAGGTGGATTTAAGTGATAAATGCCTCGGTTAGCTTTGAGTGCAGTTTCTGTGATGCCTTAGAGAAAATAAAATAATATATGATGTAAGCAGTATTGTTTAATTGAAGAGGATAATTATAGCAATCGATTCCAGTTGTAAATGTGAACTTGCGTACTGTGTCTATCTGGCGAGTGTCTTGTTAAATTTAACAGCCACTTTCGTTTCACCTTGTAAACTATGATCTGATTATGTTTTATTTCTTCCTTTACAGTATGATCCGTTAAGAGCCCAGTGTGCACTGAACAAGTTATCTTTACTATTCAAGTAGAAAATCTGAATGTACTGCAGTTACCCTGCTACCTCCAGGTAACACAAGAACGCCTAAAGGATGGCTAAAGAACCAGGTAAGAGTTTCTGTCAGAAAATTAACTTATAATTAAATATCCTACATTGTAACACTGAAAACATTTAGCTCTATTAACACTGAGTCTATGCTATCCTGTCATTAAATATGGATGAACATACAGTATGATGCAACTTTCACTGTTACAATTACCAGGGCTTTAACTGTGATCAATTTAACTATGGCTGATGCTAACAATTTTATATATGATCACTTAACAGATGAGGTCAGAGATTTGGGCTAAACCAACCAAAACGTGTCAAAAAAAGAGTGAAAACTGCAGATCACAGAGCGCAAAGGCGATGTGTCAGTTTTCTCTGACCAACAGTTTGAAAGACCAGTGTTTTTTAAATTACAAGATTAGTAGTATAGAAGACCAAAAAAGCTAATATTAACATCTGAGAGGCTGGAACCAATGATTTTATATAATAATCAGTTACCTAATTATCTTTAATTTGGATCAATGTATCAACATGTTGATTCATTATCATTTCAGCTCCAAATTAAACAATTATAGCCATATAATGATGATTTTGAGTCAATCCATGACTGTATCAGACGATGTGAAATTTGCATCAAAGCTATTATCCCTGTACCAGTCAGGCCGTAGATAATACTTTACAGTGTCCTACAGTGCATCTCAGGGCTACATAGATGCTACTACTGTTTCCAGTGAATCACCATAAACTGCGTATTTTGTAGCACTCAATGGGCCCAGTGGAGCGAAGGAGGGACTGGGCAGTGACAGCTGCCTTCTGAGTCAACCTCTCAGGCTTGTGAGGAGAATAACAACTGAGCTCAGCAGTCCTTCAACCACATCTCACCCTTGTTGAACTCACGCTATCATTTTCACCTTTTGGCAATTTTGCACAGTGAGTAAAGTTGAGCGACAGTGACCACGGATACAAATGAGACAAAGAAGGAGACAGATAAAAACGTGTTTGTTATGTGTAGAAAAGGGCCATCTGAGTGAATGATAAAGCTCCTATGTGGGGCTGCAAATAATAATTATTTAGATTTTTATTCATCTATTGATTGACTTTTATATTATTCGTTCAAAAAGATAAAAGCGGCAATATGTCATGTCTGAGAAGATGAAACCAGTGTTTTTTTTCCATGATACATGACTTTGGCATAGCTGCTTAATTAACCACATATCAATGGTCCTTTTTTCTCTTCTTGGATGACTATTGTATTTTAACTTAACTGATAAAGGAAGCAAAACCTCCAGAGCTGCAGAGAGCAAGACAGAGAGAGATACCTGAGGCACTAATGTAAAACATCATCTCCAAGCAGACAAGTCGGCCAAAAAAAAAGGCATGGAGAGGCAAACATCAGCATGTCTCTCAGCTTTTCTTCCCCCCTCTCCTCTTTAATCTGACAGTCCCCCCACCCCCATCTGTCTCTCTTTCCTTCTCTCTGTCCCCCTGAGCAGTGTTCTGTGTGTTCCATCCACGCTTCTCTCCATCTCCCTGCCTCTAATGTGCTTTGGCGTGTTACCCACGGGTGCCTGCGCGCTGCTGCCTCCATCCTAAAGCCGGATCAAGGGGGCAGCTGAAGTGGTGCGATGGCGTCTGTGACATCATCAGTCACTGTTATTACTCACATCTCACCTCCCCTCACTGACTGAGAGCGCCAGGACTTTAGGTGCTTGGTGGCAAGACCAACAAACACACACACACACACACACACACACAAACAAACCCACACAGATTTACACTCATGTTGTCAGAGCTACTTGAGATATTATTGGAAAAGCTCAAAATTCTGAATTTAATTCAAAGATTCTGTTACCTTGGTTTAGCTTCACACACAGTGGAGCGTGAAATCATTTTAGCGAATTATAATTAAATACGCTTCCCTTCAAGCAATCACAGAAAATGTCTGTAATGTTAAATATATCTATTACACAACTGAACTCATCACGTAATAATTTAGTTGGCTAGTTTGAACCTAAAAGGACTCTGAGTACAGAGTTTCAGTCACAGAGATTATGCTCAAAATTACCTTTGTATGTATTGTGACTGCAACTAACAATTATTTTTATTATTGATTAATCTGTCGATTATTTTTTCAAATTCAAAACTAAAAATTGTAAAAAATACCCATCACAAGTTTTTCAAAGCCAAAGTTGATGTTATCAAAATTATTTCAATTTACTTTCATAAATCACCACAACAATTGCTGATTGATTTTCTGTTGACCCAGTAATCAATTAATCAACTAATAATTTAAGCTGTAAATGAAATATGTGACTATATCACTTTGTTGTTTGGGTTCAGTTTACGAAATGTTGAATTTATTTCTTTAGAAATATTTTCTTCACTTTCCAGTTAGCTAGTTTTCATTCCTGGACTATACGATGGACATGACAGTGCAGTCACGACAGCCAGAACAGTTACTGTGGTCCACTGTCAAACACAGTAAATTGTTGTATGTATTAGGACTGAAAAGATTATTTTCATTATTGAAAATGTTTTTTCAGTTAGTTTGTTTAATCATTTAATCTACAAAATGTCTAAAAAGAGTGAAAAAGAACAAGCTCCTACAGGCTAGTTTTCAAGTCTTTGTTTTGATCAACAGTACAAAACCCAAATATATTACATTTACAATAACATATAAAAAAGCAAAAGCAGTAAATCCTCACGTCTGACAAACTAGAACCAGCAACATGACATAATAGTTAATAATTTAGCATGATGATGAATAGTTGATGAATAGCTCACATAGGAAGAAAACAGTTCAGATGGTGTGGCATGTTGTCAAACAATTATGCTAAAATGACTTTTGCTTCTTCACAGACATTACAATGTGGAAAACCATGAACAACTGTTTAACAAAGTAAAGTGAAACAATAAATTGCAAAAAATATAAGCCAGGTATTCCACATGTAATTCCCATGTATATGAATATCCTTTACAGAGGAACAAGGGCATCTCCAGATGTGGTTGCCAGTATCCCTTCACATGAGGTATTAAAGGGAGAAATGTGCTTCTATTTAGTGTGCACATGTGCAAAGTTCAAACTGTGTCAAATCGCCACATCTGCCATCAGCGGAAACACTTGTGTACCCAGGGGTCTGTCTGTCACCCCCAGTGTCAGCCAGTGAAGAGGTGAGACACTGCAGACTCCTTCACTTAGGAATACAGATTGCTGGCATGAAAGCTCTCGGCTTGTGAGTGGAAAGGCACCATATACAGTAAATCATACATGGCCAGCACCACCAGGTACCACATGCATGTTACAGCACAAGTATGCCAGTGTAATAGTCACAAGCTTACAGAGAATGCATATGTCTCCTGCACTCCCAACACATCCCTTTGAAAGCACCTGCAGCACTGTGCTCAACACAAGAGACAGAAAAAAGATACAAGGGCAAAAAGCTAGAGAATAGAAAAGCCAGACGACAACGACAGAATAATGACGTTTGGAGTATAAATACCTAAAGGGTTGATTATTTGAATACAAAAAACACCCACAAAAAGTACGAAGACAAATAAAAGACAGAATGAAGAGTGACAAAAACATGAGGCACGGTAGAACAGTAAAACTGACGGTGTGACTGAAAGACAGATTAACAGAGACAAACAAAGAACAAAAGATGAAATGCAAAAGAAAGGAAGGGAGACAGAAGGACAGACCTGAAGCCAGACAGAGAAAGACAGATGGGGAGAATTAGAAAAAGACAGGGAAGAGCAATGAGACAGAGGTGCAGGGTGGCGGTGTGCATGCTAAAATTGGTGGTGCTCTTGTCAGTGCATTGACCTAGTCGCACAGGACTGAGGAATTCTCCCTGTCAAGCCGGACACATTCCTCCAGTCCTCAGATGTTAACCCATGCCACACCATCATACTGTACTGCAGTGGCTCACATGACTGTCACTGACTCAGGATATATATATATATATAACTTCAACAATCTCCCAAATGTACTCATTCTACAGACACTACGCAGGTTATAAATCAGCGTTAATGTTTCCCATTTGAGTAGGTGCTATGAACTAATCTGGAAATCGAATAAATGTCCTGCTGTGTGTATTTACATCATGCATCCTGACAGTGGAAGCAAACCGCTATAAATTTCTGAGCAAAAACCTTCGACAAGAATTGAAATTTCAGGTAAAACGCACAGTTCAATCAGCTCTGAAATGATGGCCTGTGCTGCCTGCAGAGAATGAGTGTGCATAAGGCCCTGCAAAAACACATTGTGAAAATATCAGTGCAAGAAGGGCTCTATTGTGTCACCGAGGCAGAATGTAGCTCTTATTCTCCTGCTGCTGGACTGGGAGGGTGGGGATGTGACATCAACACAAAGACAAAAATGTAATGTGAGACATCTCCAGAGCTAGCTTCAAGTCCACAAGCCGCTCTTTATATCCATACTCTTGGACTTTTCAATAACATCTGATAATTGGGACATGACCAACAGATGACCCTTCCACTTGTTGCTTACTAAGAAAAGTCAGAGCCAACACTGTTACGCCAAACTGACTCACATAGGTGTGCAAGCAAAATGAAAGACTGTCTGCTTGCTGCTTTCACATAGGCCCATGGTTAGCACATATCTGTGAGGTTAATCACAACGGAATGACTCAAGGAACAGTAATTCAATTATTCTGATGGTGCATCGACGTTTCGATCGAGCCACAGACTAAAATGGCTGACCAAGTGTTCCTGACTGCTGAGTGCCATTAAACAAAACTCTGGTCAGTGAAGCACTAGATTTTGCACAAACCTATATAACAAGTCAGTTTTTGAAGGATATATAGAAAGTGCCTGCTTTTCTATGGACTACTTTTGAATGAAATAAAACAGTAAGCATTTCCTTACCTGATAAAAATGGCATCTTCAGTAAAAAAGTTCAAGTTGTCTCCAAGACTCAATCTGAAAAACAGACACATATAATTTGCATTATAATTCTATAATTTTATTTCATTTTTATTTTATTTTACTATTTGTGCTTCGCACCAGGCCTGTCTATTAGGCTGCTGTACTACTATTATTCAGTGTGTCCTTTTCCAGCAAATTCAGCAGCACAAATTCAAACCTGCTACACACAGAGATAGCTTGCATGGGAATTCCTGAGGTCTGTTCGATCCATTAATGTATGCTGCGGTTGAATGTCATCAATTATGAATAAGATGCACACAAGATTCACAGAGAACTGGTACAGAATCATGGGAACGGTACTGGACTATAGTACCTCGACTAACTCTAACACACTGTGCGAAGACAGGGCCGTGCTGTCAGATGTAAGCTAGTGTTAGGTGGGTAATCCCTGTAGGACACGCTCTTTTTAAGCAAAGCTATAATTATATTAGGGGAATTATTTTAATTTCATCTACAATATATGAGCTAGTCTCTACCTTAAGCAGGAACAGAACAGTTTTGAAAATTACACAGAAATACATTATTCTGCTTCCTCTGCCTTTCTCGGCCTTTTGGCATCAGGGCCTCTTCCCCTTTAAGGCCCAGGTATTCAGGAGTATGCTGACCCTGCCAGTGAGTTCATACCATAAGCAGACCCATACAGCTTCTCCTCCAGAGCCCCTGATCACAAGCCTGCTGTGCTGCTGCCTCTGTTATGTAAGATTATATAACACCAGGTCTGTCTGAGTAATATTTCATTACCTGAGGGTCCCACAACACTGGCATTACCATCAAATCCCCTTAGGAGGGGAACAGAGTAGTCTAGGCAGGTTTGGTAACATAAAAGTTCAATCTGAAACCATATAAGAGCAAGCTGAGGGCTCTAAGGAGATTTAGCTCATCTAACCTTTTCTGTCTTTAGTTGGCAAATGCACATGCAGAAAAACTTAAACATCTTCATTTTCTAAACAGCTAGAGCAGAGGTCATGGAAAGGTCAAGGCCAGGACACTACTAAACAAAAGCATCCTCCCCTGTTGGCTTAGCATAAAATGCAGTGATGCTGCCTGCCCATAAATGTCATCATTCTGTATTAATCCATTAATTGCATATGAATAATTTTACCACACATTGAGACACTAAACATTATTAAAGATCTAGGCCTGTGACTGCTATACAATTAGCTTCTTTCTTGTTTATATCTACTGTACTCAGTTTTAATAATGTCTGCACTGTTTCTAATCAAAACTTTTTTTGAAGACCATCTCCTCACATAACTTTTATAACCTTTCCTCATTCGCAAACACGTGATAAACAGAGATTTGAAACAAGATGAAAATACCATAAACTAGCACAAACAATCAGAGCTTATCGTTTACACATCCATGCCAGTAAAGACCATCGACCGCAGATGCACTCCCCTCGGAACGATACCACTGAACAATCTTGGATATAGATAACAACTGTGAAAAGTGATACAGAAAATGTGGGCTGCAATAACAAAAGGCTGTGTAAATAAAAAACAAAGCAGACAGATATAAAACACAGGAGAGGAAATAAGGGAAAGGCAAGCGATATCAGGAGATATCAGTGGCTGACACCACGGTAGAAGAAAGTATACTCAGTGGATGGATGGCAAATAGACGACAGCAGACCGTGTGCCTCATATAGCGTATGCCTCTGTCTACTAACCAGTGTTATGTCAACTGTACTTACAATACAATAATGCATTTATATAGTCCACTGCTGTCGACATCTTTATATCACAGATATGCACCAAAGCCTCTGCCTTTACCTGTAACTTCACCACATCAAACAAAAGTAATCTCGACCAAATGCACAGATTATAAAAATGAAAAACCTGTTGAAACTGACTCTAGTCTGTTACTTAGATTAGACTCTGGATAAAATCCACTCTCATCTTTTGTAGACACCAAACTACATCTTCGACTGTAGGTTTTGTCTTTACAGACAGACCAATAGATAGATTTGGGATACCCGGATGAACGGATGCAAGATGGGATAAAAAAAAAAGGGGGTAAGAATGGGAGGAGTGAAAAATCCAATGAGATAAGAGAAGAGACTTAGCAGTACACAATTTTAACACCTCTCCTTTCATTTCTGGTCCTTTTATAAGTAACAACATCGCACAATCATTCTCTGAATATGAAACATGATTGTTCACATTTATGCAAGCAGGAGTGACCGTCTGCCACTTAAATCACACCCCAAAATACTAACACACGCATGCACAGACACACAGATACACATGACTAATACAGACAGATACACACACAAATGCACACACCCTGCCTCCTTCATGTGCTAGCCTCTCCCAAGCATGGGCCCCATAAAACTGGGTGCACTCAGTGATCCCTTTCCAAAGCCCTCATCTAAATGTGAGCAGATGTAATCCTTCAAGGAGAGGCAAAGAGAACAGTGATAGCTCATGATAAAGAGG